TTGGATGCTGATGCTTTGGGATAAAGTTGTGATAGAGGTATATCATCTTCAGAGTCATACAACTGCTCATAGTCTTCCTGTATCGATGATATTACGCTAGGCGGCCTATTTTGAGTACTCATGGCATCTTCGATTATTTCCACATCATTTCTCAGTTGACTTCCTGGAAGATTATTCAGTGTGGTAAACTCTTCATCTCCCGAATCACAATCTGTGACGTCATCATTGGCGTTCTCTGATGGAAAAAGTACTACGCCATCAGGAGGAACGGGAATTCTATCGGGATGTTCTAATTCTTCTAGAAGTTCATGTAACTTCAAGGGCCTTCTAAAATCAGAGAAAATATTTTTTAGGTACATATATGTTACTACCGTCCTTTAAAAAGGACGACAACTTTGAGCAGCTGTAAACACTAGATCATAACCTCAAAAGAACTGATATAGGATAATGTAGACTTTTCTGTATGACTAATATCTGAAAACCATAAATAGTACAGATATTCATAAGTACAATTGTAACAAAAACTTACCTCCACTCATACATGATCACTATTTGTAGAAGCACACTGTACAAATGTCGATATATGGCTTAAGCGATAAGCATGCGACTAAAGTGTAGTAATTGGTGGTAGTTCTAATGTTCTTTGACAGAGCATGGTGGCGACACCTTCTGTAAAATTACTGGAACTCCTTACAGAATCCTTGAATCGCAATGCCTTTATAAAGGACGGTAGTAATATCTGGATTAATTTGATCCTAAAATTAATTTAGGGATCGGTTGTTGAACAAAAAATATAATTTTGGTTGGATCTAAGGTCGCGATTTAATTTTGTTCACAGTGTGAATCGCAGCCTTGTGTGCTTGCAAACTTCCTCGAGTGTGTAGTCTACTGACTCGCAACAAAGTGTTGCTATGAGATTCCGCTTGACTATAATGCAGCTGCGCTTGTTGTTTGATGTAGTCCCTGAGGTAAGGGACGTCAAGGTCTCTGTGAAGGGTCTCGTTGGAGACATACCATGAGGCATCAGTGACAGTACGCAATGTTTTGTACTGCAAAACCTACAGACTACGCAAATGCGTTTTGGCGAAAAAAACACAGCCGCTCTTGCGTAAGTAATCGCTGGCTAATAACCATCTTGCATAGCTGAACTTTGTTAATCAAAATTAATTTTGAGGTTCTACATAGCGTACGGTAGAGTTGACGAAATTGGAATTCAATTTTTAACGCTTCAGTGTGCTTCTGCCAAGTTATCCTCTTGTCAATAGTGACACCAAGATACTTATCAGAACTTTCTCATGGTACCCGAGCTCCATTCACTGAAACCTCAGACAGGGCGCTGCTACGTTTTTTAGTACAATAGATAGCCCGCGTTATCGAATGATTAATTTTGATCAGCCACCGATTCGCCCATTCCAATACCTCGTCCGCTGCACTTTGCAGCCTGTCGTGCACTAGATCCCCAGAACACGACTGGGCCACCAGGGCAGTGTCATCAACATAGAGATAGATTTCGCAGTTGCTGGGACAAGGGACGTCATGAAAAAGTGAATAAAGAACTGGTCCAAGAACCGAACCCTGAGGGACACCGGCTTTGATGGGCCGTGTTATTAATTTTGATCCAAAAACTCCGTAGTATGCTCAGACCGAAAACCAAATTGCACGTCAGGAATCACAATGTGGTCTGACAAGAAATTTTCAAGATGACGTAGTCACCTTCTCAGCGAGCTTAGAAGGAGCTGACAGTGGACTCATGTTGCGGTAATCCTGGGAGAATATAGAACGCACCTTATTTGGAATCATTATAATATGGTCTTCCACGCCGCTGGGAAGTGCTGGGTCCTTAGCATGGCGTTGATTATTGCGACGAGATAGGTTAAGGACTTCCGCGAAAGCAGCTCTAGTGCCTTATTAGTAATTCGATCCTCTCCAGGCGCTTTACGCACCTTGAGGTCTTTAATATGACCTTGAAGTTCTGCTGTTGTGCAATGCGGGATCTCAGGAGATTTAACTATTAAAATAAAAAAAAACAACAAAAAAGGAAAAAAGATCGATGAACTTGTCAAAATCACTCTTGATAATCTAAATGAACCTTATCGCAACACCAAAGAGAAACTTAAAAATTTGGAAGACGATACCGCATATACACAGCCAACATCAGCCATACTACAAAAACTTTGTAAAATTACAAAAAAATGACGGTGTAGCTTCCACTAGTCCTTTTTGTATTAAATGACGACGGACTTAGACCCTTTTACAAATATGTTAAGTTTAGTTTCCCATTTTGAAAATGAAATATTGTGTTCTACGTATTTAAAATAAGTTCATATACGAGTATGGTGTATCTGAAGTCACTTGAAATAGCATAAAAACCTTTGGTCGGCGCGTCCTTTGTAATTTCATGACGTATCATAGGCGTGCGTGCGTGCATTTATTTAGAACGATAATAATAATGTTTTTATATCACAATAAATGGATTTTACTATCTTCTTATTTTTTTGATTTGGGATAAAAAATACTTATATTGGGAGTTTAATTTATGTTGACTGAAAGTTAAGAAATGGAAAAATTACAGAATTCCAACGTTTGACATTTATTTACATAGCAGGTAGGTATATAAAAAGGTATATAAAGACTTACATTATAGGTATTTATATATCATCCTCGCCTTCGGAGCTGTCGCTAGAGTCATCTTGTAAAGGAATTACAACGGGATTTACAGGAGGCAAAACACAATATTCATTTTCTTTTTCAATAATATGCCTAGAACACTGCTTCCATAGGTCTGTGGCAGCAATATGAGATACTGCATCTCTTATTGTGGCCAATAGCGATTCACTTAATTGAGGGGTCTGATTATGTTTTCTTACTTTTGTTTTTAAAGCAGCCCAGACCAACTCAATCGGGTTAAAAATGCAGTAATAGGGAGGTAGACGTAATACTTCATGGCCATTTTGCTGAAGCAGATTGTCAACAACATACTCTGTTTCAAATTTTTGTCTTTTAAGAAGATCCAATAATATGGCTTTGGTTGATTTTTGTGGTATTTCCATTCCCTTATCCTTCATAAAATCAATAATGTCTTGTTTTTTGTGCCTGTATTCGGAATTTTGTTTTTTTGTCGGGAATGGTATGGCGCATTGTCCATAATAATGACTGAATTTGGGGAAATGTTTGGTATTAACTGCTGTTCTATCCACTTTTCAAATAAGTCGGAGGTCATGTCCTCATGATAGTCGGCACATGATTCTTTGATATTTTTGGCAGATAACAGCAAGGCATTAGGTATAAATCCATTTTCACTGCCAGCATGGAGAATAATGATTCGTTTTCCACGGTTGCATGGTGCATTTAAAATGCACTTGTTGCTGTCGTCAACCCAGCCGTACTGCACAACATCATGGGTATCATACCACGTTTCATCCAGGTAAATCAGATTTCTTTTCTGCTCTCTATAGATTTTAACTTTGTGCAAAAATTCTTGGCGCAATTCAACGATTCGAGACGACTCCATAATCACCATTCTTTTATCTAATTTTTTGTATTGAAAACCACACAGTTTTACAATACAGTCTAAGCATTTGTAATTATAAAAATCTTCAGGATAATCTTTTAATTTATCCCGTATCATTTCCAACGTGGGCACCAAATTTTTTTTATAAAATCCGTATATTATACGACGAATATCTTCATGAAAACCCACGTCTATTCTTTTCAATTTTTGCCCTATGCGCTTTCTGTGGAAGGAATGGTTGACTACATCTCCCCTTTTTACAACCCGATAAATGGTAGACCGACTGATTTTTGTCAGGATACAAATTCTGTTTAAAATTTGATTTTGCGAGGAATCTGGATTTTCGTTTTTCAGACAATCATACATATTTAGGAGAACTCTTTGGGTCTGTTCCTCTAAATCTTTATGAAAGAATTCTGCCTGCACAGGTTCATGAACCATCTCCTCGTGGCTTGGAGCATTTTCCCAAGGTCTCCAAAGAGCCATATTTAGGACACACAAGAACAATCAACACAACAATTAAATCAACAAGTAAACTGAGTATTCAAAAGTCAAAAACACACAAACTAATAAAATCTATGAAAAAACACGGGCAGACTAAAGAAAACACGTTTATTCACCGCTACACGGCACTGGCTAAACTGTTTCAATTTTCCGTAGCCAACTGCACTTGTTCCGAGCTCTGAAATACACGCTTTCTCATTGGCTATGTCCACGCATAGGCGTGCTTTACTCCACGTGGACGGGTGAAACTGCCTTTGATCTCTTATACGATGGATATTTGCTGCGAAATTTGGCGATTTTTGCAGCAACAGAGCGTGTTAAATATAGATATATAAAACGCACCCGGTATTTCACAGTGTTTCAAGTGACTTCAGATAAAGTATACTTATCGTGTCATATTCTTTTGAATGAAAAACATTCATAAATATCTCGTTCATTACTTTTTATAAATATATGTCTAAATCAATAACTTTTAAATACCTAAACAGCACATAGACCCTTTTGAACTTAAGGTCTTCAACTATTATTATTATATTATTATTGTCTCAACTTTACATAAGGTTTAGTAGACATAGTCAGTATTTATCATCGTCACGTGCAAAATATTGTATAATACACATACAAGTTCAAATTATAAATCAATTGTTAGTGGAAAGGTACGCTCACTGATAACATCCAAAAACATTCCAGATGCTATAGTGTAATTGACCGCAAGAATTTTTCTACAGAGCGTCCAAAAAAACAATTTACTGGCTCAACACTCCAACAGTGAAGTAGGGTCTATACCAGTCGGACGTTCCTGTCCTGGAAATTTCCCGCCAACCACCGATAAATCGTTTGGAAGGAGCAACCTCTTGGTTGATAGATACTTACTGGGTCGCAACACCTTCGGATAGGATTCACTTAGGCGGTAACAATATTCATATTATATGAGGCTGAGATCTAAACAAGATTCAAAAACATCGAGTACTTTTAAATCAGAAAACATAAGTGAGTGTTTCACATCTGCTTCAATTCTCAATAGCACTTCAACGTAAACGAGATAAGGATTACAAACTTATGAGAATAAGATTATGGATATAAAAGTACCAGTATTCCTGCAAAAATAAGGTACGAAAGTCAATCGCCAGCATGGATAAGGCAGCGGTGTTCATTTGCCTCATTGCATTTACCTTCATGTGAGTATAACTAATAATCCTATCCAATTGCTTATAAATGTCAAATAATGAAGTGAACATTTTATAGAAACCAACTATTATTTATACGATAACAAGCAAATACGTGCTACCTTTTCAGGACATCTTGTACAGTCATGATATGTAAGGTCTTGAAAGCACCACTGTGTTTTCTGTTGGTCAATCCTGATTTTTTCATCTTAAAACATCAAAGACTTGGACAGAAGGAATGTATCAAACTCATAACATTTTTTTTAAAGAAAGCAATTGCTCATTAATCTGGATCTGTTCATTATCAAGTAGCTATGTCTACACTTAGAGGAATGATGAAAAAGAAACAATTATTCTGCACAACTTAAATTCCGATGCTAGTATAAAAATTTAGACACAAAAGCTACTAATCATGAGACAGCCTTCCACCACTTACGTTTCAGGATGGGACGATTGTATCCGACTCAAAGGCCAAGGCGGAAGTGCTCGCCAAGATCTTTGCTGTTAACTCCACCATGGACGTCCCCCCAACGCCCTGGTGCCGTCACTTCAAAGGGTTTCCTACACTATGCGAAAAGTAACACTCAGGCATAAGGCCGTGAGACGAGTGCTCTTGTCGCTCGACATCAACAAAGCTTCTGGTGCGGACTTCATTCCTGCCCTTGTACTGAAGAGGTGTGCAGCGGAGCTTGCTCCAGTTCTTTCACGTCTCTTCCAGATATCTTACGAATCCTTCCCAGAAAACTGGAAGTTTGCTCATATCCAACCCATCCCAAAAAAAGGATCTAAGACCGACCCTCACAACTACAGGCCTATAGCTCTGCATTCTGTCATAAGTAAGGTAATGGAGAGGTGCATAAATCGCGAGCTTCTGGACTACTTCGAACGTCACAGCTTAATTAGCAACAGAGCACCAGCTGTCCACAGGGGACCTCCTAGTTTACGTCATGCAATTGTGGAGTAAACTCATTCAGTCTTATGGTGAGGCTCATGTCGTTGCTCTTGACATCACGAAAGCGTTCGATCAGCTGTTTCACGCTGCCCTCTTAAGCAAACTTCCATCCTACCCAGAAAAGCTTCGCAGATGGATGGCTGATATCCATCAAAATTGACGGGTTCTCCTCTTCATCTCACAACGTCAACGCGGCTGTTCTCCAAGGATCGGTCTTGGCTCCGACACTGTTCCTCTTACATATCAACGACCTCCTTTCCTGCACGAACAACCCAATCCACAGCTTCGCTGATGTCAGCACCCTACATGCAGGAATTCAAAGTGACAGGTCGATCTCTGCCGCTGAGCTGGAAAATAGAAGACTAGCGTCGACTTCCACTCTGACGAGAGACCTGGAGGTTATCACTGTTTGGGGACGCAACAATCTTGTAAAGTTTAATGTTTCCAAAACACATTGCAGTACTTTGTCGAACAAAAAGCGTCCTAGCGGTTTCGATGGATGATCGAGTTTTGCCAAAGAGCCATTCATTTCGGCTGGTCGGAGTCCAGATCACCGAGGACCTGATATGGCACTAACATATCTCGTCAATAGCGGCAGCTGCTGGGAAAAAGCTGTTTAGGGCCAATAAATGCTTTTCTCCGCATGACCTTCTCACTATATACAAGGCCCAGATAAGGCCTAGCCTCGAGTAATGCTGTTTGGGGTGCTGCCGCCCCGACTACATTATTTATGCTCGATGCTGTCCAGAGGAGGGCGGTCGGACTGATCGATGTGTCTGTCATCGATCAGTCTCGGGACCATTTTACACCCGCGTGCACTCGGCGATCTAGCTCTTTTCTACCGCTACACCAATGGGCTTTGCTCTTCAGAGCTCTCTTCCATGATCCTGCCGCGCGATGTTCCTGCCAGGCAGACCCGCCTGACTTTGGCCTCCCATCCTAACCGTGTCGGACTCCGTACATCAAGAACTGGCCGATACGACGGCCCCTTTATCCTGAGGGTGTCGAGATTGTGGAAGAATCTACAAGAGGAAGCTTTTCCCAGTTCTGCTTACCTTAGGCAGTCCAAAAATAGTATTAAAAAAATTTCTTTGGGATCATCATAGCAGCCACGGTGTCCTGGAATTTAGGCTCCTGCCTGCGCGGCTGCATCGGTATAAAAAAAATATAATAATTTTTTATATTACACATTGCCTGTTTCATTTTTGACCAGCTTTTGATAGGTCATGAGAATCTAAATGAATCTAACTTTGAGGGAAATCTGTACTTGTCAAAAGCTTTGATGCTCGCCTACTTCCAGTTCTGTAAATAAAAAAATGACTTCATAAGTAATATGGTTAAGATATTTTTTTGAAATATACAAAATTAACGTACACGTGTTTCCAGAAACGTAGATGCTTGGAATACGAAGCCTTTTCCGAAAGACTTTAAATTCGGTGTAGCCACAGCATCTTACCAGATTGAAGGTGAGCACTATTCTTTGAAACAATATACAACTAACATGTCAAGATATGTTCCAAGCGCATATTTTGAGATAAAAGTTTGTAAACGTGTGAACAAGCAATAAAGTAAACTCATTCAAGTTTTGGATAAGGATGATATTTCGTTTAACACTTAACATCACTATTTTAAAATCTTCATTAAACATAGGAGCATGGAATGAAGATGGCAAGGGAGAAAACATCTGGGATCACCTTTGTCACCATGGACCATTTGTTGTTGAACACAATCAAACAGGAGATATAGCATGTGATTCGTACCATAAATACAAAGAGGATGTCGCAATGCTAAAGGATCTTGGAGTCAGCCACTACAGATTTTCAATTTCTTGGTCAAGATTGTTACCTACAGGTAATACACGTTAAATAGATACGTAAAACTTGACTCGATACTTTGCATATATTAACATATATAAAAACATTTAGAGGACAAGTATTTGTACTTACTACTTTGTCGCTTCCATTTTCAGGATTTGCTGATAAAGTGAACAAAGCTGGTGTACAGTATTACAAAAATTTGATAAAAGAGCTTAAAGCTAACGGCATCGAACCTTTAGTAACTCTGTACCATTGGGATTTGCCTCAACCTCTCCAAGTGTTAGGAGGATTTCTGAATGATAATTTTGTTGACTGGTAAGTTAGGGGCAAAGTTTACGTAGTAAAACGAAGGTACTATACTCAATACTTATTTCATCTCTATACACTCATAGCAACTAAAGCAAAAGCCTCTTTGGTCATGGGGACACATCAAGATTTTATCCCACGAATCTATCAAAGTGACATACGTTTATGTTTCATAACTTAAGAGTTTTTTTTGAAAATATTTCTTTATCCTATACTTTACATTATGTTTAATTTTACACTATGGGTTATTCAAAACTTCATGCGCTGGAAATTGTTAATAACATAGAATATTTTTAAGCAATACTATAAACTTCCGATCATGTTTTGTATCTTTGATGACGTTAGTAAAGTGACAGGCAACTTGCATGCCTGTAAAATTTGGTTACTTTATAAGTGGCGCCACCTACATGTTCCGCGATTCAGATGAAATTTTCACACAAGCCTACTACTATGTTATGGACAGAAAATCTTTATCGTTTTTGGAAATTGGTTCAGGGGGCGACCTCACAAAAAAATAATAGGTAATCCCTCGAACTTCGTTGAATACAATTTTTGTAGGGATTAAAAATTGGGGGTTAGGGGTTGTGAGGGTGTGGAAGAGGCTATCTGACTGACGTGATTTCTCTTGTTCTACAACTCGCAACTATTTTGTTGTCAGAAGGTTCAACTTCTGCTGAACATTTCATCACAGCGTTGCGTATGAAGTGCAGAGTCAACCTACTCGACGCCATTTTTCAATTGCTCAACTGCTACTGATGTAGACGGGTTAGGAAACTAAAGCCAGACCTACATATATCGATATGTTCCAAATCTATTGTCTCCTAATGCTTTCTGTATAGCCAATACCGCCGTTCTGTATAACATTTATTATAACAAGCGATTCAACTGGCCTTTATCTTGATTTTTTTTTTAAATCAACCTTCAACTTCCGTGTAGGTTTGGTGACTATGCTCAGTTATGTTTCGATCTTTTTGGTGACGATGTGAGCAACTGGCTTACTTTCAACGAACCCATTAGTATATGTCAACAAGGATATGGAAATGGCAGAAAAGCTCCACTGATCACATCACCTGGCATTGGTGAATATATTTGTGGAAAAACCATGATGATTGCCCACGCTAGAGCTTGGCATATCTATGACAAAGAATATAGGTCTAAACAGAAAGGTGAGCCAAGATACTTATAAGCGTAGAAATAATTAAGCAATTTATAATGACCAAAGAAAAAGATAATAATGATAATGACTATAAAACCAACACCACTGCTTTCGTGACATGGCATTCATCAGTACGGTCTAGAATTGGTCTCTAGGTAGGACAACGAACCGGAGCAAATTATCCTCTATCGGAGGTATAAGGTCTATTAAATTACGATATCACAAGTGACATCTATTACCAGAACAGAACACGTCGGAAGCATCATTGCCAACCAGTATTATTAGTTGCTCAATGGAGAGTAGACTATTATCTCTTATATCGTCAGAATCGACAGCACTAAGTGGTCACAGTGCTCCGCTTTGCAAAGCCAAATGAGCTGGCTTTGCAGTTTCAACATTTAACTCCTTGGGTTAAATTGATTTATAATATTTTAGGTTCTGTTGGCTTTGTGGTTGATAGCAGTTGGTACGAGCCCAATTCCAATAAGACTGCAGATATAGAAGCTTCAGAAATGAAACTGCAATTTGTGGTAAGATTCAATATCAATATCATTTTGTAGTTGACTAGACAAGCATGTAAGGAAAAACAATTCCTGGAATCAGCTTTTTCTGGTTTTGGCCACGAGACATTGGTAATGTCACACCTACTCCAACATTTTCCAAGAAGTTTTTTTTACATTCCAATTTATCGAAATAATGGCACATAATGGAATATTTAATATATGCATTAGTAATAAAGTAATCCGAATGTACCTTTTCACCTAGTATTGGAAAAACGTATTTCTCGGAGACGTAAGAATATCTGTCTCCCAGAATTTGTATAATTTTCATGTTTCTGCAGAGTTGACAAGTATCTCCTTCTAATATTTTTCTCAATATCCTTAAGAACCCAATTGACGCCATTCTCACGATGCAACGTAAAACAGCGCTATTCATTTAAACTTTTATATTACGTTTTCCTTTTTTAGTGGGGAATGTATATAAACCCTCTAATCAACGGTGACCACTCAAGTATCCTGAAGAAACAAATTGCCAAGAGGAGTAAACAGCAAGGGTTCAAGAGATCCAGACTGCCAGAGTTCACTAAAGAAGAACAGAAGTACCTCAAAGGTACACTCGACATTATCGGTTTAAACCATTACTCTACATCAATGGTATCAGCACAAAAGAATCCAGACCCGGACGCAATGGGATTCTATGTAGACTGTGAGGTTAACGAATGGCAGGCTGACGATTGGGAGAAGAGTGGATCAGATTGGTTGAGGGTAAGTTTACTTTATCCCTTGCATGCCCCCCAAAGGTCAAATAGACACCTTGCCGGTTTTTCTGTTGAAGATTATTAGGAAGCTCTATCATGAGACATCTTATTTGAAGATTTATTTCAGCGCCTTCTATGAAGCCTCCCTTAATGTAATGATTCAGTGTGCTATGTTTTATTTTAGGTTGTTCCTTGGGGTATTCGTAAATTGCTGAAGTGGATTAAAGTCAATTTCAATAATACCAAAATATTAATAACTGAAAATGGATATTCCGACAATGGAGAAAAGGATCTTAAGGATGACAGAAGAATTCACTACGTAAAGGTAATTTCTCATGTGGATTTATGTCAGTATAGCGAAATCCTTGTACGATATCCTTAAGCATTGTTTATTAAGATAAAAGTTTTATACAATAAGAAACTAACTCTATACCAAGAAAATAATATAAATCAACATTTGCATTTTAAATGGATAGCTGTACAGGGCAATACGGGATGTCCACACTTGACAGAGCTCAGGTATACATGACCTATATGTTCGATTTGCAATAATTATTTTAGCGTAAAAATTAGTATTCGTGGACATTTCCTGAATTTACGTATTAGATTATTGTTAGTAGTGTAAGAAGTTATGGATACAAAGTATCCACTATTAAAATGCCGTTATGTTGTGGGGTTGTGAAATGCAACAGTAGGGCAGGAATTCGAGTCGGCTCAAATAAAATTTTGTTGGAAACAACCAAAACAAAATCTATAACATCAAAAAAATTTAAGCTTATCTTTCTCTCAAATTCGAGGTACCTGATGTCACGTGGACATGACCTATGGATAATTTTGAAGTTGCTTCTTTTTATCACGGACTCTTATTAAGGCTGTTAAAAAGGCGTAAGATAACGCATGACATGGAACTCATAAAAACCAACATGAAAGTGTAAAATCCAGACTGATCTGTGCGTTTTGTTGCATATATCGGATGTTCTAGCACTTGCCTCATCCAAAATCAGGGTTTAAAGTCTCAGGAACTATATTTTTACTTAGCTTTAGCTTTTTGACTACATTAAGAGATGCTCGTTGCAACGGAACAAAAAAATACGTCAAAAATCATTAGTACAATCACAAAATATTCGCAGTCTCATACTTCGCAAGGAAGCAGATGACAATGCTAGATAAGGGCTCTGTCTTGCTTATAATAAAGACGATGATAAATCTAATGTATTGATTGTTTTTTAAGAGCTACCTCAGCAATATCCGGGATGCCATGGACAAAGATGGAGTGAACGTTGTTGGCTACACATTATGGAGTTTGATGGATAACTTTGAATGGAATAGGGGATACACGTAAGTGTATAATCACAACAGTCAAGTCACACCTTTTTGCTTTTTATAAACCATACCAGAGAAGAATATTACTTCTACTGGCGACAAAAAAGATTCATTCCGAAATCTGAATGGACTTTTCCTTGATTCACATGTAATTAGGAATACTTGTTTGTCACAAACCATTTTCTTCCAGGGAGAAATTTGGCCTATATCATGTTGACTTCAATAGTCGTAATAGGACAAGAACGAAGAAGAAGTCTGCAGATTTCTACAAGAAAGTGATAGCCACGCGCTGTTTAGCTGATAAATGTGCAGCGTAAAATTTCATAGAATTTTGTCAATAAATAAAAAATGTTACATCTGCATTTATTTCCTTACTTCCAATAAATTTAGTGTGTAACGTCTATAAACATGTAAGAATCATTGTAGGTTTTTTTTTTGTAATCAGCCTAATTTGTGAAGATTTTACATAACTTTAAGTTGGTAATTTTGAGGTATTTCGAAGCATTTTATCTCTTAAAATGGATTCCTGTGACTCTATCAGTGAAATGGTGTGATAAGCCGGTCTGATATTGCAGGCAAGGAAACAAATCATTATTCACTCTTACAAAAATATTTGTTCACTCGCATATAAAACAGACCACAAATTTGAAACGGAACATTTGTCGCTTAGAAGGTCACATTATATTTGCCAAGTTAACTGTCTTTCCATCGGCGTCCTATGTCTTTGTAAGTACATTTTTACTGGAACCTGCCTCAATACATGGTCGTTCTGTGTAGAACGCATGACCGATCAGTATTAAATGGCTTACCTGACATGGTATCATAGTCATTTGATAACTTATGAGAAGCGTGTTACCGTGAGCTTACTGATTAGTATCATCGTCTTGGTTATCAATAAAAATTTATATTATGAACTTGTGTACCCAAGCAACACATTACTAAAATAATTATAAGGTATTGCTCACTCTGAACAGGTTGGCAGTACCTATGCATTTCCAGCACGAGTTTGTTATTTAGGATCCGTTCCTAAATTATGTTAGCTAACTTAAAAAAATTATGTAACTTCACTGTCACCTTGTCATCTATGTGTGATTGTACCAGTTAGCGTTAGGCGGTAGTATCCATAGAAACTATTTTTTTAGATGTGCATCAAGTTTATTGTTTTTGTGATTTGTTGTTTGAATATAGTCGATATCGAACAAAAATATGCATCTTTCCTAAATAATAATGATAAGTTTAATTTCCAGTTTAATCGAGTATGTTCTTGGATGTTGCATGTATACTAGTGACAAAAAAGGCAAACACCTACGTATGTTTAGCCGATTTTAATAATTTTTGGCATATACGAGGGGGTACTCAAAAAAATCCAGAATTACTTTTTAAAAGCTATTTATCTTCAACTTTTTCACAAAGTAACCCTATGTCCTTCAAAATACCATCCACTACAACTAATACACTTGTCCCACTGGTGTTTCCACTGCTCGAAACATTTTTTGAAGTCTTCCTTAGAAATGTCTGACAGCTCCTCCTTCATTTTTTTCTTGACCTCTTCAATGTCGTCAAGGCGGCCTCCTTTCATGCCCCTTTTCATCCGTGGAAATAAGAGAAACTCGCACGGAGCCAGATCAGGCGAATGAGTTGCGTGAGGCAGTGGAACTATGCCATTTTTAGCCAGTCTCCTGTCTGCCACAAAACGGGTCTTTTTTGCCGGACACTGTTCTCATTCGTCTTAACCCTGGAGCGCTTAGGCGATTAGCACGGCTATAGTTGCTTAGGCGGGGTTACCAATAACCCCCCAGTGATATATTCCTATTTAATGAACAAAATATAAAAGATAGACACTTTTGTTTCAATAATAAAACATTTATTTCAAACACTCGGTACATATTTCAGCTCGATGATTACTGCAAACATCCTTGAAACATTTCGCACAGGCAGTTTTTGTTTTTCGGTCATTTGTTCTTGGAGATAAAATGCAGCGAGTCTGTTTTAGCAATTTAGCTGGAGGTGGACCAACTTTTTCTTCTGTTTTCATATCTAGAATATTCATTATTGATTCTTTCAATTTTTGAGGTATTGGTTTTGTCAAACGTCTTTCCATATGAGGCCTGACCAGTTGTAGTCCAAGTTCAAGTAGGTATTTTCGACGAACACTTTTTTGTCTATCACGCTTAACAATTTGGAAAATAATGCTGGAGTTAATGCCTGCTTGATCCATTATACCATAAAAAAAGCGTAATGGCCACCTGCGTGTTTTGCGGGATACCGAATATGATTTGACCATCTGGTCAAAGGTATCGATACCTCCTTTGGTAGAATTGTAAAAATTTATTATCTCGGGTTTTTTATTTTCATCTATTGTACTACCAGAATGCATTGTCGATAAAAGTAGCACAGATTTAGACTTCTTGGGTGTAAAGGACACCAAGGTTTTTTGGTTGCCGAATCCAAATTGAGAAGACATACTATAATTTCTTTTCGTTTGTTTGGGAGAAATGTTGGAGGAATTTCCCTCTTGTTTTTTCTGAGAGTACCCACAATGGTCAAATTGTAGTCAACAAGCATTTTGTCAGCCAGTGGGATGGAAGTAAACCAATTGTCCATCGTCAAATTGCGTCCGGTTCCGTGAATGGGTTCTGTCAGTTTTCTTACGTAATAAGCTGGGAGAGGTTATTTATCTGGCCTATTTTCTTTGCCGATATATGGAATAGCAGTAACCATATAATATGTGCGTGAATCACACATCATTACAACTTTGATTCCATATTTGTCAGGTTTTGATGAAATATATACTCTAAAAGGGCAATTGCCTCGAAATCCCAATAACTGTTCGTCGATGGTACAATAACTGTGAGGCGTATAGTATTTTGTACAGTTAGATATAAACATTTCCCATATATTACGTACTGGAGAAAATTTATCTTCTCGGTCTCTCATGGTTTTGTCGTCAAATCTGAGGCAAGATATCAAAAATCTAAACCTTGTTTCACTCATCACGCATCGATACACTTCTGGTCCATGCTGTAGTTAGATGATTGTCTTTTCTACAACCTGTCATATAAAGCAGTCCTATCAAAGCCTAGATCTCTTCAACGTCTGTCTCGTTAACAAAGCCACAATTAGCAACATATTTCCCTCGTTGTCGTTCTATTTCCATATTTGTATGCACCACTATAATATCTATAACATTAGCGCTAAAAAATAACTTCCATGCCTCTAATTCCGTTGAAATATTTTTGGCCGCACCTTTTGGTCCTGGAATACATGAAACAATGTTTCGCTTAGGTGTTCGAGTACGACATGGAAGCTCAGTGCTCCAAATATGTCCATTTGTTCTTTCTATTACTTTGCCAGGAAGTTGTTGTTCTGTCTCACTCTCTACTTCACTATCATCCGTTGAGTAGGTGCTCTCCCTGTCGGACTGAATTGAAACATGGTCGTCATAGTCAGTGCCGTCATTATCTGCATCAGGTTCATTGTCGAGTTCTTCATTCCATCGTAACAGAGTTTCTTCAAATTTGGGATCATCTGGTCGGACAGCCATCTAAATAAATTACGTCTAGTGTGTGGAATAAAATAAAAATACCAGTTTAAGCTTACCCGGGGTTACTCGTCACCCCAAACACAAAATATCATATAAGCTATTGCATTGAACAAAAATGTGCGACCAACAACACACACACTTTAACCTCAAATGAACATAGCGGGATCTCCGATGTTGCCAATTTATGCACAAAAAATTAGTGAACATTTGAATTTTCTTTAGGGTGATGCGAAACCCCACTAAGCATTACAGGGTTTAAACCTCCAAATAGCACAAGCTCTCTAATTTTTTCAACATTTTCGTCGATTCTGGCAGCTGATGGATGTCCAGAGCGAGGTTTGTCATCAATCGACATGTCGCCATTTTTAAATCGAGCAAACCACTCGTACACCTGAATTTTTCCCATATCATCATCTTTGTACGCTTTCCTTCGCTGCGTGCGCGCTTTGAAATCGTGGGGGGCTTAGTACAACTATGAGGGTACTACAATATGTAGTCTAAATGTTTACTTCGACGAGGGCGGAACATAATAACAATAGCTGTTATTGCAACACACTGTATGACAGTGGAAACGCTCAATAAACTGCCACCTGGGAATCAAATACACATATAATATATCATTGTTATTTTGTTGTCTACTTTGAAAAAGATCTTCGTAATCGCAAAGACTTCAGTAAAGAGTAATTTCTACAGATGTGGTTTCATTTGGACAAAACATGGAGTTCTATCAGAAAGTACTCTTTTCATTTTGATGGAATTTTATTTCATGAATACTGGCTTACCAAGGCAAAAAAACTCCTATTACTGCTACCACCACCAACACCACCAAAGCAATTTATACGAGGGTTGATCCAAAAATAAGGTTCCCATCAATTTTAGAAATAAAAACATTGTTTATACTTAAAGAAATATACATTATTAGAAAAATGAAACCTGGCTATATTTCTCTACATAATCATAATTTTTTTCTATGCATTTTTGTAGACGCTATTCCAATATTTACGTCCCAATGTCATAGAGCTCCGCCAACAACCCGTTGAGGACTTATTTTACCTCCTCTTTAACTTCATCATCGCTCGGAAACTATTAGCAACTCAAAGTTCCTCCAACATTACTGAAACTATAGAAATGTTTAAAATTATCAAAGCTATATATTTTGCCTTTATTGAGAATTTTGAAAAACTAAAAGTTAAAAGAACACTTGAGTGGCCAATACTTCCTAAGCGATGATGATGTCAAAGAGGAGGTAAAATGCATCCTCAAAGGGTTGGCGGCGAAGCTATATGACATTAAAACATAGTTTCTTCTGGAACCGGGGGCAAAATTGAGCATTAATGCACACGTTTTTGGATCCATGAATCATTACCTACCATACTAAATCGCTTTAGCCAGGGACTACTTGCTTAGTACAGGCCAAGTAAATATTTTACACATAACACGTGTTTACCAAAGTATGTACATACGTGTGCGAAAAGTCAAAGCAATTCAAGTATTTACCACTGATCCACTTTCACCGAACTATTTTTATGGTATTTTCCATGACACCACTCAACATACATTTTAATGCACCTTAAATTTTTCAATCCGTCATCCGACCTAATCGAGATTACATTTATAAAACTCAGAGTGAGTTTCTGTATAAACTAATATTAAGATATATCTATGACAAAGTATTATCAGCATGAATGAAGCAATGGTGCCATTTATCTGTCTCATAGCGATAACATTGACGTGAGTATGATGAATTTTATCCGAATAATTTTTAACAGTACATTCAGATATCCAAGAACTAATGAAACGTATCCTTCTTTCTTAGTAAAAAATGGTCTTCAGTTTTTGTCTTTGTAATTTTAACATAATTTGATAAATTGACCCGAATATTTTTCAAATTTCAAATTTTATCAAACTGAGGGTGAGCTAATACGTCATCTTGATTGTAAATACTTTTCCAAGATCCTAAGAAACCGTTCTCATTGAAGGCAACTGGAAACCGCAACCCGACTACAACACGGCGGTTAATCGACTCGGCACATGTATCCAAATACAAGCGTTCACACCAAAAAGACGGAAACGCGACCAGTTGGTCAACGGTTATATTTCACTTTCTTATTAGTAAGTATGTAGTTTTATACACACCCAACGAGGCTGTCAGTTTCTTGTCTTGTTCGGTGAGAACACAGAACCATCGTATCCGAAAGTCGAAGTCAAGTTGAAGTCGGATTGAGTTTGCAGTCTAAGAATAGAGATATACCGTGATTTTAAGGTAAATGATATCGATATTGAATCGAAATTGACTTATGAATATTATATTATTTTAACGGCAGTTAAGAATTTCAAGATGATGGCTGGGCGCCATACTGTAACATTTTTTTAATTGGAGTGAGGGGTTACCTGATACATTATATTGAAGCTCGTTATAAGTACTTTACAACCCTAGAAGATAAAATCGCTGTTTCTTAAAATGGCGGACTGGTAGGCTGTCAAAGTTAAGCGTTTCTGTGCATTGAAGCCTTATTACTCGAAACTAATTCTCAAAACGTTATAGTATGTTAGATCAATCTTTCTCTTTTCGAAGGCAAATCTGAATGTGAAATAAAATATGGGACATTCCGTTCAATGTGACAGATTTTGACTTTATTTAATGGAATGTTCCATATTTTATTAGATATCCGGATATACAGTTCATTCTTTAAAAAGAGATATTACATGACCTCCCATTCCTTCAAAAAGAATTTCAGGTTGGTTTTATATGCTAAAATATAAGCGGTTCTCATTAGAGAAGCTAATAGTTAGGCAACATAGCGTCAACAATTTCTTTTGATTGCTGTATCTGGAAATCAGAAATTGCTTGTTGCAAATAATCATGTATTTATCATCAATTTCATCACCCCGAATTTCAGCTTGCTAACTTGAATCGTTCAAAAAACAAGTACGTAAAACCTTTCTGAAAAGCACTGTATAGTAGGAAGTGATTTTAAGAGCTTTACTAATCCTTTGATACCCCAATAAACATGGCAAAGGAGAAAACATCTGGGACCACCTTGTCCACTATGGACCATTTATTGTTGAGAATAACGCTACGGGAGATATAGCTTGCGATTCGTACCATAAGTACAAAGAAGACGTCGCAATGTTGAGATATCTTGAAGTTCATCATTACAGGTTTTCTGTTTCTTGGCCTAGATTGTTACCTACCGGTAAGTTGAATTCTCAACTGTGGCATTCTCAAAAATATCTTTACTATTTTGTTGAAAGGTACTTTTCTGTACTCAAGGCAAGGTTGTTGTTTTTAATCAGACATCAATTCACATACATGCATTCATCACGAGTATGCTCTATTTTTTTTAGGATTCGTCAATAAAGTGAACGAAGCTGGTGTATAATACTATAGAAACCTGATTCAAGAACTGAAAACTAGTGGTATCGAACCTATTATCAGGCTTTATTACTGGGATTTGCCCCAACCTCTTCAAAACCTAGGTGGATCTTTGAATGATAACATTGTTGATTGGTAACATGAAGCTGATCTCTATTTCCTCATACTTAAGAAACATTGGTCACCTCGCAGTATGATAATACTTTTAGGTAGATTATACATGGTTTATAATGTTAGGCAGGGTATTTAAAATTTTTTTGATAACATGAGATCGTCTCGCAATTATTGCTTTCGGCTGTATCAGGATCATATTCAATTAATCACTAGAATGAATCTAAAAACTGGTTTTAGGTTTGGTGACTACGCTGAAATATGCTTCGAAATCTTTGGTAACGACTTTAGCAGCTGGTTCACCTTCAGTGAACCTCAAAGTATCTGTCAACACCTATATGCGGGTATAGAGAGAGCTCCTCTGGTAGATTGACCAGGTATTGGTGAATACATATGTGGGAAAAACATGATGCTTGCCCATGCTCGAGCCTGGCATATATATGACACCCAGTACAGACCTGCGAACAACGGCAAGTGCTGCAACTTGACGTAAAGTTCGACAAGAGATAACTGCTTGACCAACATTGTTTTTGTTACTCTATTATTAAGTAATGCTTTCAGAACTAGGTAATTTAAGTTTTCCACCTTACTCGCTTACTTACTTACTTCCTGTGGCCCAGCAGCATAGGTAATGCTTTGGGCTGCGCAACTATGCTTTGCCATCTTCCTAGGTATTGTGCCACAATCTTCCAGTCCGGCACTGTGATTTCATCTGAACATCTCTCCTCATGATCCAGCTATCTCTGCTTTGGCCTTCTCCAAATCTTTTTTACTGCAGAGTTATTAACTTTCCAATCTGCGTTTTCAGCCCATACCAGTCACCGCGATCATATATCATCTCTCTAGCTATTGTTCTCCATTCTCCAGTTTATTTAACTATCAAAGCACCGTATATCGTTTTTAGCATTCGTTCTTCGAACTCCAACAAGTTCCGCTGATCTCTTATGCTCATTGTACGAGTATCTTTTACACTACAGGTATAACAAATTTTCAACTCAAGTTCCCTGAAAATACTTTCATTTTTCATTAACTTAACTAGGGCAGATGCATTTCTGTTACCTTTGTTTATCATGTGACAGTAGGTCTCCAGATGAACAAACTCCTTAACCTTTTCAAAATTGGTGATCCTTAGCGGAACCTTGTTGTCGCTGACTTGTTTTTTGCTGTCATCCATTATTTTTGATTTATTCGTATTAACTCTCAGTTTAACTCGTCCTCACATCTCTTTAACTTCGCTGTAAATGGGCGTCATGTCCTTTATTGTTGGAAACAATGTCAATATCATCTGAATCGACAAGCACTTTGTTTAGCACGTATATCAGCATGACTATTATGTAAAAAACCTATAAAACGTCAAAAAAACCTGTAAAATGTCATTTTGGAGGCTAGGTAGTTTTTAGGGTGCAAACAGTCATTGCACGTTTGCTCACTAGGATCGTTATGAGCGCCCATCTATGGAGGAATAGTTCGATCGCGTACCACATAGAAGGCTTCTATTTAAGTTGGAATCTATGGGAATAAGAGGCGAGTTGTTACTGTGGATTAAGGCTTTTCTCACCGGGAGGACTTTCTCTGTGCGCGGCAGTGATAGCCAGTCTCACCTTCATCATGTAGCAAGTGGAGTTCCTCAAGGCTCTGTCTTGGGGCCAGTGCTGTTCCTTCTGTATACAAGTGACCTGCCCGCATTGATTTCCTCCACATGTTCAGCTTATGCCGACGACACCAAGATTTACAATACTGTCGTAAATTCTGCTATGCTTCAACGAGATCTTGATATTGTTTGTCAATGGTCAGTCAGTTGGCTTTTACCCTTAAATCTAACTAAGTGTTGTGTCCTTCACCTCGGGAAGACAAATCCGCGATTTACATACAAGATCTCTGACCACAACATCGAAGCAGTTTCGAGCCACACTGATCTGGGCGTTGTAGTCAACGATCGTCTTTCCTGGTCAGAGCATATTCACCACGTTACATCAAAAGCCAAGAAACTTCTATATATGCTGGAGAGGTCTTTCAAAGGATCCGATGTCAACACTTGCGCCTACATTTACAAGGCATTCGTGAGGCCAATTCTTGAATTCGCTGGCCCGGTATGGGACACTGTGCTTCTGCGCGATAGAAATCTCGTCGAATCAGTACAGCGTCGGGCTACTCGTATCCCTTTTGGAGCACGAAGACCAAGCTATGAAGATCGCCTTGAATTATTCAACCTGATCTCTTTCTCTGAGCGAAGACTTCGTGGCGATCTTATAGTTACGTTCAGGATACTTCATGGTTTGATGGGCACCAACCTCATGCATCTATACCATCTGTCGCGCAGCAATCTACGCGGACACAGCTTCAAACTGCATAAAGAGCCATTTAAAACAACAATCCGACAGTGGTTTCTTCCCAACCGCATACTCAACACCTGGAATAGTTTACCTGAAAGTGTGGTTGGTGCTACTTCAGTTAATAGCTTCAAAGTGCAGTATGATAGCTGGAGGAGTGTACAAACTTTATAGCTATGAACTGGATTTTTTTTATTTTTTTCTATTTGATGTATTTGTGTTACGTATCCGTACACTATATTTACTGCATGAGCTTATAGTACTGTGTACTCTGCTCATCTCAATTATCATAATAATAATAATAATAATAATAACTACACGCAATGTTGGTTGCATATGTTCTGTGAAGTTGAGTAGTCTATAGTTTTCATCTGGATGATTGTGTAGGTATTGGTCTGCATGTGTATAAAGTCAGTGATATTTCCTGTGGGAGAAAATCATTGTGCTGTATGTTATTTATATATTGTCGTTTCTGAAGACAGATTATGTTCAAAGTCATAAATTGCGATTGTTTAAGTTTTTTTGTGTTTTCAGAAACTGCGAGGAAAATTACGGGAAATCACCAACGATTAATATTATGACATTAGCATGCCCCCATTTCCCGTTTGGAGGGTTTTATGTGTCTCTTATTTGATGCTTAATGCTTAGAATTTGTATTTGAAGCTTCTTGGTTGATCCTTAATTTTCAACAGAGTGGTTCTAAAAAGTCTTTTCAAGTAACTTTTTGCTTTAGGTTGTTCCATGGGGAATTCGTAAGCAACTGAAGTGTATCAAAGAAACTTATGATAATCCGAAAATAATGATAACAGGAAATGGATTTTCTGATCGGGAGGAAAAGCTGCTCGAAGATGACAAAAGGATCGATTATATTAAGGTACTCGTACAAATGATGTCTATTCAAGAAATCCGCTGATTGGATTTTTTTGTTGTCAGAGTTATCTTAGCAGTATAAGGGATGCTATGGAAGAAGATGAAGTAGACGTTATCGGTTATACATTATGGAGTTTAATGGATAACTTTGAATGGACCAGATGCTATGCCACAATTGATATACAAAACATTATTATTGGAACGTCAAATGAGTATAATTACAAATAAACATTCATTTCAATGACCAACATCTGATGCGATTTGTTGGTATTGTTTGGAAAAGGAGTTTGAAATTGGTGAAAATCGTTTGCCGCAGCAAAGCTGATGCACTTTGTATTCTCTTTTCAGAGAAAAATTCGATATATACCACGTTGACATCAACAGTCCAAACAGTACAAGGACAAGCAAGAAATCTGCAGATTTCTACAAGAGGGTATATCCACACGATGCGCAGCAGACAAAAGTATAGCGTAAATATTTCCTAGTCTTATCTTTATAATACATTATTGTGTTATTATGCATAGATATGTAGTTGAATACTTGCTTTTCTATACTTACATTTGCAGTACATGGTTAGACTATGTTTTGTTTCCTTACCTGAAACAAGAGGAAAGCAATACAATAAATTATTCAAGGTTCCTCAAAATTGGACAAGACTTTTAAAATCCAGTACATATACAGGGTGACTTCAAAGTTGAGTCATTTATTTTAACAGTGAGTAGATCTGATCAAAAGAAATGTTTTTTTCCTTTACCATTTTTCTGGTAAAATTAAAGTAACAAAGTTATAGCCCTTTGGAAGTTTGAGTACCGCCCTGTCTCAATAATAATGTTATGTACTCGTGTTTGGCAACAACAGATATAATCCGCCTTATCCGTTCATCGCATCGGAAACAAAAAAGCGAAAGAATTTGGAACGATGTTTTTACAATTATCTTCTTCAGTTGTATACAGTCAGTGTTAGTCGGTAGTCGGTAACGCGTAAGTGAATAGTCGTGTCTGTTGCGTGGCTCAAATCAAAAATGGCACATGTTTACGAAAATGCTGAACTTGTGGACATGGTTCTTTACAAAATGCTGCCGCGGCATCACGGATCTATGCGGATCGGTTTCCCAATCGAGTGCAACCAACCCCTCGTGCCTTTTTTAATGTAGTGCAAAGAGCTCGTGAATCAGGTGACTTGAGACCTCACAGAGGAGATCATGTCGGTGCTCCAAGACCGCACGATCAAATAGAACTAGAAGAACAAATTTTAGAATTAGTAAGTGATGATCCAACAGTAAGCACCCGACAAATTTCAACTCAATTGGCGATTAGTCAATATAAAACTTGGAAAACTCTACGTGAAAATCAATTCTATCCGTTTCACATACAAAAAGTGCAGGCCTTACAACCGGAAGATCATGAACAAAGGGTTGACTTTTGCAATTGGCTTTTAAATAAACATCAAAATGATGACAATTTTTTAAATCAAATTTTAGTGAGTGATGAAGCTCTCTTTACTAGAAACGGAATTATTAATTCACGTAATTCTCACGTTTGGGCTATTGAAAATCCCCATGAAATAAGGGAAACCAATTTTCAACAGCGATTTGAACCAATCAACCTGTGGGCGGGAATTGTTAATGGAATTTTAGTGGGGCCTTTTGAATTACCAAATCGCTTAACTGGTGAAAATTATCTTGATTTCTTGCAACACAATTTGCCTGGTTTACTGGAAGATGTGCCTTTAAATATTAGACAAAACATGTGGTTTTTACAAGATGGCGCACCACCCCATTATGCAAGAAATGTGCGTGAATTTTTAAATAGACAATTTAATAATCGTTGGATCGGCCGTGGCGGTTTTGTACCTTGGCCGCCAAGGTCTCCGGACTTAAATCCTTTAGACTTTTGTTTGTGGGGTTGGCTAAAAACTCTAGTGTATAAAACACCGGTTAATACACGCGAAGAATTACGTGCTCGAATTGAGGAAATGAGTACAGTGATCAGAAATCAACCAGTGATTTTATTGCGTGCTTGTAAAGAGACATGGCTAAGACGCGCCCAGCTGTGCGTCGAGCAAAACGGAAATCATTTCGAACAGTTTTTGTGACATGCTTTTGGGCGCACAGGTCCGCACTGAAATACTTGTCGGGAGGATACTTTATAAAACAAGGTAACATTTTCTTTTAATTTTATTTTTTATTTTTACACACATATTTTGGTTTATCTTCCTTCTACAATCATTATCTGAAAATTAATGACTCAACTTCAAAGTCACCCTGTATAGAAAGTAGATATAGAAAGCGTAAGAATATAAAAATTAAAAACCTGGTTTGGCCTTTTCCATAGCAGCTGAATTTGTAAAGAGTTGAAATCACCACCTGAGGCTATATAATCGTTGGTCACAGACGGAAGGTGAGTCCTGAGGTCAAGTAGCTTTACATAGGCCTTAAAACTGGATCATCCGACCTTACGAAGTCTGTAAATAAGCGATGAGACTGAGTTTTTTAATATGTATATTCAAATATAATTGCAATTTTATGAAGAATAACTTCCTTCTGACGCCACACAGCGCTGGATATGGTTCTTCCACTCCTCATAGCTGTACTGGGACTCCGATACTGGAATAGCCTTCAGCTGGTCGGTTACAGCCGCTTGAATGTCTTCAACTGTCCCAAAATGAGTTCCCTTGACGTTAGTTTTTAACTTCCGAAGGAGAAAAAAGTCACAAGGACTCAAGTCAGGCGAATAAGGAGATTGTGGAGCCACAACATTGTTTTTACTTGCCAAAAATTCATTTATTGACATTGATGTGTGACAAGGAGCCACTTGTTCTTGATCTGACGAAGTGTGAAGCAAGTTTAACTCTTCCTCGGTGATTCTGAACGCACAAGATCCCGGATTCTGTCGTTATTTCATGCAGATGAAGGCCTTCCTTTTCGTAGTTGATCTTCAGCAATCACGTTCCCTTCTGAAGATGTTTTAAACCACCGAAAAACCTGGGCTCCTTGCAAAACACCGTCTCTGTAGGCCTGTTGAGGAAGAGTTTCGGTTGCACTGTGCCCGAGTCTGAACCAAAACCTGATAGCACACCATTGGTTGAAATTGATGTCACTCATTCTTAGGACACAATAGAAAAATCTGTTTTCTCCAGTGTTGCCACGTCAAACGCTTCTTTTCACTTAATTTACCGACCTTGTATAAAATGATTATGCAAAAATTGCTTGGAAGCGAGTATTTTCTGGTTTGGAACCTGCGAGCTGAGTCTGCCATACGAGTATATTGGTCCAAGTTGGTATTTGCCAGTTTTTTGATAAATATAGGTATTTCAAATACGTTTTGATTACATTAAAGTAGTGCCAGGAGGATCCTGTACCAATACCACAATAACAACAACAATTTGATTTAAAAAATAACACTGGACCTCATAGGGGTATATTGAGGTTTTTGGGAAAGCTAAACTCAATGAGATGGTCGGTTGACTTCTATCAAGTCAGGTCCAAGGTCACTCCAACGTCAAATGTATAAAAAAAACGCATGGAAGATGTTTGAAAAAAATGCTGTTTTTTGCGTCGCCAAATTCAAATCTGGCATTCGGCAAAGCCATCCAATTGACCTTAATAATAACCTTAACGTGACATTGGAATAACCTCTGGATGATCTTGCCGGTCAAAACAAACGTCAGCTTTGGACCGCAAACTTTGATCCAAAAATCATCTCAATTTGGCGTTGAAACAGCTACTGGCAAAATAAACATCGCCAGATTTTGACTAAGTGACACAAAAAACTACAATATAATTTTCTTCAAAAATGTTGCAATTTTTCTAATTTTGACTCTGAAACGTCTGAAACGACGTGATTGAGTTCGTCCGAATTCGGCATCAAGTCCAGCGACTCCAAGAACCCTGTGATACACCTAGGAGATCCAGTGATAACCCATAGATCAAATGTTAAGCTGTGAAATGTACCAATCATGAAAGCTTTTACCCATCATACCGTATTATAGTGGGAACTACGATCATATTTAGCACGACATGCACTGCACTGACATCCACCGCATATGGTAACCGTTTGTCAAGCGGACCATTTAGGTACAACTGTTGCCGTAAATTCACTGAATATGACTAATATTCACATTGCTTATAGGCTTAAATTAGTTAAAAGACCTATCGCTATCATGTTTTTGATGGAAATTAACAAAAAAGTCTAGCCTCGCAGCTTTCTCCACCAAAAAGTAATCGCCCATCCATTTAGTCTCTAGGACTCCATTGCCTGACCGAGTCAGGTCACATACATAATATGTTTTAATTCCTGTTCATCGCACTCGATGCTTCGGCGACAACGGTAATAAAAATTATTGTTGTTCACGTCATATAATGGACAGAAATTAAAATATATACAGAGTGCTCAAAAAGTCTCCGACCTCCTCCCAATCTCAGAAAATACTGAACAGGAAAAAAAATTATCAAAGCAAATATATGATTTCACTGGAAAATTTAAATGCGACTTTAACAATGACCCAATAATTTTTGACCCCGGAGATCAAAATAGGGGAAAATTCTAAGTTTGGATGTCATTGACCATGGGCTTGACCTTAATCTTCTAAAAGTTATATTAAGGTCGAAGAGATTTGCTTTAGTGGGACCCTATACTTCTGACGCCTGAAATCGGAAGAAGGAAAAGTTTGCAATTGATTAACTTTAATGGAAGCCTATACGTTTCGATTTCCGGGGTCAAAAGTAAGAAAATCGGGTTGAAATTGCAATGCCCTTCAAGGTCAAGGCCTGAACTCAGAATGTTCGGCTCCTTGGATTTTCGGGGTCAAAAGTATAAGGGCACCATTTAAGAAAATCAATTTGTCCTCGAAAGTCAAGGTATGTAGTGTTTTGCATCTACGTCACCGGCCACGCTCGGTGCGTGGCGTCACAAATAAAGTTACGTTACGTTCAAGATACGATCCTTGTTTGATACCATATACTGAGTGCTATGCTATCAATACTCCGTCTTATCCATATGGAGCTGAGTGGTTTAATCGCAGCGAGCCAGATATGAGCAGATCTACTCTGGCAGTGCGTAGCTGAGCGAGTTTCAGTGTAGACCGTCCGTTACGCGGAGGTATCGCTATGGTTCCGGAAACATAGCAACGTATCACCAGATTGACGTCATATACGAATACCTCTCGTATCTCAATCCCGGAAATTAAAAGTGCATACTGGGAGCAGTTTCCGCCAATAGACAAGCAGATGAACTAATCCCATTAAGCAATCTCAACAGCACTCAGATCGATCATTAAATCCGCTATAAGAATTTCGCTGGCAGAGCTTGAGCCTTTTTCAGCTCAATTCTGCGTCTGCCTCTACTCCAGCTCAGCCTGGAGTTTCATTAAAAGTGTAGACGAGCAACACTAAGAATGGATATCGTAATCCGATTTGAAAATGTAGGTCAAAAGATTAAGCTGTGGAATTATATTAGGTGGAGACGGCATGAGCTGCTGTGTAGATAGGACAAGCGGTGCCGCCGACGGTCGTTGCCATGGCGATCAGCGATGCTACGGAAAAGAAAAAAAATCTGTTGTAGGGGAGATTGGGGGTTGATTGGTTGTGGAGGCCAAGAACCTTTGCATTACTAACCCAAGAAATTGCTCCTTATCT